AGACAATGCGAATAACTTAGTATTTAAGAACTTTTAACTGTTTTAATATAAGTAGTAGAGAGTTCTAGAGTTGCCATGCTATAATGTGTTTTGCTACTGTTTGTTTACATGGCAGCAGCATGAAGTCTTTTCTCCTCTTCTTCCTTATAAATCTATTTCAAATTACCAGACTTCTATTGGATATGCTGTATGTTTTTAAAAATCTGTGCTGAACTTTAGTTGAACCTCAGGCTAGTTCTTGGCCACAGGGCTCAGCTTTACAATTTGAACATTACATTACATTTTATTAGAATAAGTTATTGTTCATAAATATGAATGAATGTATCCATACCACAAATCCAAGCCAATTAACACCCCTTCATGAGAATATCTTTTAAAAAGGTAACTCCATTTAGAAAGTTAACTTATTTTGCTAATCATGATTTTGTTTTGTACTTTAATTTATATTTAGGTTTTTTTTTTCCTGGAAATATAGATACTTACTATTATATACCATTAATATTTTAAGAATAATTTGGAATGAAGATCTTTATAGCAGGGCAAACAGCAGAAGTCACAGAACAGCCAGATACTGTATTGGAAAACTGTTTTAATCTGTGGAAAAAATTCAACAGGCACCATTGTTCCTAGCATAACCTTTGCTTTAGCTTGGATGAAGGATGTGTACAACAAAGGATTTGAACACATGGCGAGCAGTAACTAGAAATGACTGTCACTGCCCAAGTGAGGTGAGGGTGGAAGCCTCAATGCAGGAGCAGCTGGGAGCCTCACTCCTGCAAAGACATGCGTAGCATGAAATTCCAGGTGGCTGCCGCCTCCAGGCTGTGTGTGTTTGCAGGAGGGACTCTGAGCCCCTGCTCTCTGGTCTGTACTCGCATAGTAGCAGTTGCTGCAGTGCAGTTTGTTTAAGTGATTACTTGTCACTTCTCTGTTGACTCTTCTGCTCCTCAACTCCTGCCCTTCCAATCCCTCTAGCTGCCACTCCAGAGGCACCACACTGATTTTGACAACTGTGATTACTCAAACTTATCAGTTTGAGAGTTGGAAAAACTCTTGGGGATGAATTTATGATAGCAGGGCTACATTTTCTTGACCCATTGTTTTAAGCCTGCTTGGCTGGTAGGATGCTGGGAAGCTCTATTAACAATTTTTTTTTTTTTCTGTCACTGGGGCAGGTTCTTCAATGCACATGGATCAGCCTTGCTGCCAAGCTCTCTATGACTTCGAGCCAGAAAATGAAGGGGAGCTTGGGTTTAAGGAAGGGGACATCATAACTTTGACCAATCAGATTGATGAGAATTGGTATGAGGGGATGTTAAAGGGAGAGTCTGGCTTCTTCCCCATTAATTATGTTGAAGTGATGGTTCCCTTGCCTCAGTGATTGTGTCATTCAAGCTGTGAACGTGGTTTCATGACTGAAATGGATTCACAAATGTTCTGTCAGTGTGGCATTCTGTGAAAGCCTTGCTATTTGACTGACTTACTGACTTTTGTATGCATCTTTTTAAAATGTATTTATTTTATATTCAAAAAAATTTTACCTTCCCTGATTCCATCAACCTGCAAAAAAACCCATACCCAGTTTTTTTGCTTTGTGCCTTGAAGATCACTGTATGAAGTGTTTACTGATAGCTCACTGTTGCTCCAAAAAATGCATTTCCTTGCTATTAGTGTACATGGATTTTTTTTTTATCTTTGGCTGCAATGATTTTACTATTGAAAACCATTTTTAAAAAATACTGTAAGTGAAGCTAAGTGTAACCAGTTCCTAAGTTACTGATGTCACTGAGCTCTTTACATCTATCACCCTGTAATTTATTGTGAGCAAGTTAATCCATGTTTCACCTTGTATGTTGACAAAAGGCAAAGTAGTTGTTGTCAATATTATGATGTTGTTGTACTAAGTACAAGTTCTCAGCCTTGAAAATTCCTATAATTTACTGACCAAACTGAATAAATATTTCCGTGGTATAAGAATGGTGGTTGCTACTTCTGTCCCTATAGTTCTGGCTCTTGTTTTTGAGCTGGAGGTCACTTTTGCTAAATATATTGGCTTTCAATGAAAAAAACAATGCTACAGTGCAAATGCATGAATAAAGCTCAAGTATTAGTTTTATGACACCTCAGCCACTGGAATTCTAATAATCTTGTTTTTTCTCTACTGATTGTGTAGCATTTATATCTTAAAATTTTCTTCTAACAGGAGTCTAAGAGAAAAATTCCTTTGAACTAACTACAAACTGATCCTAGCTCCAGAGGGCTTGTATATAATTTCACTGAGATAAATACGTGAGTATCAGCAGTGACTATTGCAAAAAAATTAAGTAACCCCACTTCTACTCCTTTTAATTATTTGAAAAGACTAGGTAGAAAATGAGAGACATGCTCTAAATAAAAATATGCAAAAAAAGGCACCACAAAACAAAGGACAGACTCAGGCATCTTAATATCAAAATGAAGATAGAACTAATTTTTTTTTGTTAGCTTTTTCCTGCTTTGCTTAGTAAATGCAGATGTAGTAATGACCAAAAACTTCAGCAGCCCCAGAGGCATGTGTAATCTTTTACCAGTTGTTCTCTATACAAGAGAGAGCAAGAAGAAAGGAGCTGAACTCTTTATGGACAACCTGGCTTGAATCCAGCTTCACTGTTTCAAGCTCTATTTGGTTCTGTAGTCCAGTTGAAAGAGCATTCCCTAAAGAGGAAAGAACTTCATGTGTATCACAGGTGCAGTAACTTTTCCCTCTAAGCAGCATAAATAGCCCCTACCTGGTTCTCAAAACCGTGTCTTTCTGGTTTCTCTCATCTCTGGCCTTGGCTTGCACAAGGATCGCAAGCAAAGCAGAGGGTTATTCTTTGCAGCTGTGGCTACAGGCTGCTACTTAGGGCACATCATCTCAGACTTGTTCAAGTAAAGAAGAAAATTCATCAGCCCTTCTCCAAATTCATGGGCAAGTACCTATTATTTATTAGAACAGCAATATGGAAAGTAACTTGTCCTGACCTAGTTTTTGAATGAAAGTAGATATGTTCTAAAAACAAAGCACATAGGACAACTTTCAGAGGTTTAAGTATTGGGGATTCATACCTGCTTTTGCTTTTTTCCTCCTTTATCAGAGAGGTCTCACCAGTCATACCCTTCCCTAGCAGGCAACAAAAGAGGCATTGAAATCTTTTACCTCACCAAAATTCCCTACAGGAAAGAGTTTTATATGTACACACACACTATATACAAAGATATACTTTACAGTAGGCTGCATACCATTTAGTAGAGAGCTCCTGTTCAGCTGCAATAGATGCCTCATCTAACAGAAGTAGCTATTGCAAAAGCAGTAAGCTGGAAGCAAGTCAAGAGACCTATATTGTTATTGATTAGGATAAAGTACAGAGAGAGGTCATAGGAAACCAAACACCTTTAAGGTTTGCTACCCAAAAGACACAATTTGCACCATAGGATCCATTACATTGTTTCTTTAATAGGTACCCTTTAAAGAGGGTTTAATAAACTGTCTACTTGGCTGTGTAGTTGAAGAAGTAGATTGTTTCCTGGACCATTGATGGTGATCCCAGACAACATCCTCTGTACCACTGCTATTTCTTATCAAGACTTGTACAATCTTTTGTAGTTGTTGCTTGATACTATCCTTCCCTTGTGCTATGAAAAGGCTTCACATGAAATACTGAAGATTCCTCTCTTAAATCAACTTCATAGCAGTTCAGTTTTATTTGAAGAACTGAGTAATAAATGTAACAGGCCAGCACAGTGTCATTCTTGGGGTTTCTCCAAGCTGCAGGGAATCTTCACTAAGCTCACTCCTTCTATTGCTTCAAAAGTATTTGAGCCACTCAGATGAGATCAATGAACAAACAACTTTATTATTTAACCTGCAAATATTAAAGTCCAAGACTGCTTTTATATACATGAAAAAATCTTTAATAGTTAAAAAAGTTTAAGAAATCAAGATAAATATAGCAAAGTCATAGCAGCAGCTATTTCTATGTTGGCCATAAGGTACAACAAGAATTCAGATCTGCTCAAATGGAGGCATTAAACCAGCATATACTCTTGATGTCCCAAAACAAGATTTTTTAAATAATTTGAGAGTTAAAGCTACTATAAGGAAAGCCTCACCTTAACAACTGCATCCTAACACAGAACAGGTCTTAAATTCAGAACTGAACAGTTTGGCAAGGTAAGAGGCAGTCAAAAAAATATTCCAGCATTTGGAGAAATCTGCAATCTCAAGTGCTCCTCTCCCTTCAGCTACTCCCCTTGTGCTCCTAAAGAGAAGTGTACTTTATGTGGCTCATCAAGGCCCTTTCTTTACTATAGAGCCAGGAGGTAAGTATTTTAGTAAAAAGAGGCTAAGAATAATTAATGCAGTGGCCCCAGAGGCTGACTGCCTGGTTTCTGAAGGTTATAGGTCAGGCTTTACATTGACTAGAACTATTAAAGTTACAATAAATTACATACTGGCCCACAGACAGTATTCCCCCAACTGCCCCATTAGACATTCACAAAACAGTACTGCAGACTGCACAGAGATTAAGTACATAAGGACTAAGGAGCATCAAAAATATCTGCACTGTTATTACAGTTGATGTTTTCTAGTTTGTTTCAGCATGGTATTTTTTCTATCCCCTTAGAAAGCTGGCTTGCTGAGAACATTCAAAGAGAGTGATAATATTGCTAGTTACAGTACCTTCTCTGTTGGAATGAGATGCTTTTTCACATTTACAGGATATGTCTGTCCAAGTTAAGGTTGACACAGCTAAGCTGTGAGATACTCTATGTAGGAACATACAATACTGAAACTGGTGGATTTCCAGGTGCTAGAATACAGAAACAGTAAATTAACAGCCAAGAATATTTTTTACAGGTTGCTTTTAATATTAAAATGTCTCACTCTAGGAAGTTCTCTAGACCAGTGTCATATTTCAGCATTAGGATCTGAGCAGAAAATGTTTCAGATACTCAACACTTGAGGATAATGATTTACTTCAGCCAAGTTGAGACTTGCTCAAGGTGCAACGTAGAATGTTATCTGGCCCATATAGTTCCCCACTCGGGCTTGAAACAGCAATTATCTTTGGAGAAACACCATATCAGAATATTGAAAAAGCCAAGGCAGCCTCACACTCATTGTCAAGTATTTAGCATCCTTCTAGGGTATATGTTCAGAAGTTCTGTAAACTGTACCCCCTCCTCTGTTTCAGCAGGGCACAAAAAACAGATCCTTGTGTTAAAGTAAAAACTTCACATGGAGCTTGTAATCTACTGCTCCTTGTATCAGTGAATCCAAGGACAGGCTCCAGTATCAGAAGGTAGGAAATTTCATCACCTTATGAACAATGTTTCTTACAAAGAGGTCAGATGGTAGATGCAAATTCCAAGTTTCAGATATTGCAGAAGATACCAAAACGTCCAAGTCTTAAGTAACCTGGGATTAAGTGTTTTCAGATGATCATCTCTGTTCGCATTACATGATAAAACAGCTAGAATCCTCCTTTTGCTGCAGAAGTAAAACAAAGACATTAGGCTAATTAGCATGTGTACAAACCTCATTTATTCCTATTACTTTATCCTCATACAGGGATGTGGGGGGGGTTAGTGTTTTGTAGATTTAGTTAATAAATTTACATTAATAAAGCAAAGCAGATTTTCAGGAGAGGCAGTACCTTAACTATACTAGATGGTTTGGGGGTGGGGGAAAAAAAACAAGCTTTTAAGAATTTGAGTTCACACAATACATGAGCCTGTGCCTTCCTTAATGAAAGGCTATCAAGCTATCAGTACCTCCATTCTGAAGCATCAAAACTTAACTGGCATGCAGATTCATGCTACTCTAGTTTGGATGGTAAAAGCAGAAGCAAAGACCATGGAAATCCTGCCTTCCTCTAAAGCACAGCATGCTTTGTTTGCATCATTTTACTGCATGCAAGTAGTAAACTGTTTTTTACTAAGCTGCCTTTATTTCAGTACTACCAATGCAGCAGAAGCATATAGGTAACTAATGACAAGTTTGACAGTAATTTAGCAGACAAGAATGACCTTAACAATTGAGTTGTAGTATTAGAATTGATTCTTACCATAAGTGGCACACAACTGTATTGTAAAGTTGCTGATAAAACAGATTAGAGGTGTAAGGAAAAAAAAGTTACTTTGCTTTCCATCACTGATTGCTGAACAAGCCATATTATTAGTCAATTCAAATACAGAGCCTTAAAAAAACAAACTTGAGGAGAGGCCCTACTCTGAACATGGAAAGCAGCTTGTATTCATAAATCTCTTCATAAGCCTAAAGCTTCCACTGGTGTTACTTCAACCATTTGGGTGTGTGCTGTGCATTGAGAGCCCAAAGGCCAGAATAGCATTATAGAACCTTTCTCAATAGCCTGTTTAACAGGGTCTCACCCTCCTTCAGGGAGAGACTGAAAATATTACAAGAATGTGCATAAGTCAGACTTTAATAAATATCCTTTAGTATTATAGCAATAGATATTTACCCCAATTTTCTGTTTGAAAGGAGGACAAGAAAACTAAGAAGCAGGCAGTAACTGCCTGTTCTTAGGTACATTTTCTTCAGAAAGACAGTAGTAAGTACTATTAAGTTTTCAGACAGTTGTATTATGAAAATATCTAGGAAAGGGTGGTAGTTTTAAGACCTGGAACAGTAAGATGCAAGTCCTCCTTGTATCTGTGTAGGATCAGTTTCAGAAAGAGCTGGGGTAGCTCAACATGCTATGTCAGCAGGAGAGAGTGATTTTTTAGCTAGGCATCCCCTTGCACTTAAGGCCTTGGTGCTATTTCAAATCAAGAAATAAACCAAGAGTCAAGTACAGTCCATAATTGTTCAGTTATGACCAATTTAAAGCCCTTGTATTAGTTCTGGTTTAGATTACTTGAGCAATTAAATATTTCTGAATATCAAAGTACACTAGGAGCAGAAGTGCAGACTTGTAATACAGTCAATCAAAAGCCATTTGGAGGGACTAGAGACTTTCACAGGGCATTACCACATGCAGGTAGCAGCCAAAGAGTTAGAAGTGTATCAAAGGCAAAACATGCTTATTCTGTTTGACTATGTTAATTCCATTAGCATGACCTGCATCTGTGCTGAGGTTCCACTTGGAAAGTATTGAAGGGAGTATGACTGAAGGAAGGCTGAGATTCTTATTTTGCACAGCCAAACAAGAAAGTAGCTCCTGGAAATGAGCTGGAGCAGAAGTGCCTCAAACTCGTGCTTGAATTCAAGAGGGACTCAGCATATTGATTGCTCAAGAACTTTGATTTCAGCCTTTTTAAATCCTTTTGAATGGAAATATTAGCTTAAATTCACACTGAAGAAACCTATCTTAACTCAGCATATTGATTGCTCAAGAACTTTGATTTCAGCCTTTTTAAATCCTTTTGAATGGAAATATTAGGTTTCTTCAGTGTGAATTTAAGCTATCTTAAAAGCAAGTCAGGGACACAAGTTTGGAGTGTCAGATAAGTAACTTCATCCCACAAATACAGGATATTTCTAGATAGTGTTTGCATTCTGTTCTTGGGGTAACAGCTTCTCAGTTTATTCATAGTCAGATGCTTAGATGGAACAGACATTAAAGCTAGTATTTTCCAGTGTGTCAGTAAAGAGAGACCAAACAATTAATACTACTGTTTGATCATATTCAACCAGAGAATAAGCACAACATCAATTCCACTTCTGATGCAAAGCCATGCAAGCTACATCCTATGTGGGATAATAGACTGCAGCACTATTAATGAGGCAAGTTTTCTATGAGGTGACAAGCATAATTCTCACCATCTCACCTGCTTGAGGATGGTCACAGGAACCACTATCATGAAATCAAACAACATTTCTTTTTTCTTCTTCTTTTGGTCTGACATCAAGAAAAATGTTAAGAGTTGTAGGATACAGATAGTACTTGGGAAGTATTTTCATACAGTAATTAAAAGGACAAAAAGAAATGGCCATTGAATTATTCTGTTGATTGCATGTAAACTTCAGGCAGCTTACCCGAGATGGAAACTCCATTTCACTTCCAGTTAGTTCTTCATAATCATCATCTTGCTCACCACCTTCTTCTCCTCTGGGTATATATATTACCTTCCTCTCTGCGAGTTCCTAGAATACAATTGAATTACCACCAAGAACCCTCAAGAATTAAGGACATCAAACAAGTCAGCACTAGGACAGTAGAAGCCATCTCACTTACCTCACCATCATCTGTGATGAGTGTAACACTAATATTATCCTCAGTTCCCCAAGACTTCTGAGACTTCCAGACCAGATCACTAGGACCTGGGCTTACACCAGCAGTTGCACTCCAGATCTGAAATGGATTTAGAATCAGCTTGTGAGGAATTTTATTTGTAGCTAGATTAGTATTCAGTCTAACATATACAACTCCTAAGCACTCCAATACCCAAGATGTCTAGTAACAGAAACTGAACTACTATGATCCCTGGCAGCTTAGTTCTTTTCAGGACTACCAAGAATGGTGGTAATGTTTATTTAACTGAATACTGTAAAACAGCACAGAAAAGGCTGATAACAGCTTCTATCTGATGTAGAGGTAGCCTTACTTGGACATGCATACTATTTGAGTTACAGAGACAAGCCATAGCTACAGACATACTCATGGCAGCAATTTGTGTACACAAGATAGCCTCTAGCCTGGGGTCACTCACAGATCTCTTGAGCAAGGTCTTAAGAGTTTGGAGTGCAGAGTGTAACATCTTTGATCACTAATTGAATGCACTTAGAGTACGTTTTTAGAGTTAATATTCAGCTTAGTACCATAAACTGAGCTCAGCATTGCTGAACTGTAGTGGAATAGTGGACTAAAGCTTTAAGCTACAGTGAAAGTCTTTGCACAACTTGTATCAAATCACAGGAGTGCAGGGAACCCTAGGAATAAACTAGAATACACTGATTCTGTTCTTAATAATCATAGTAATCTGGGATGATCCAAGTTCAAGACCTAGCTTTAATTAAAATTTAATTGGCGTTTTATATCAAGTTGTTGCAAGGATTTTTCCCCATCTCCTTCTCCACATAAAGTAAGGATTTTGGCTCTTCAGGCACTTCCAGTATCAATTTAGTTTTCCTTATTACATTAATCTCTTTTGCTATCTAACATAAGAAGAAAGCTATGAGTAAGTTTTACAAAACCACTACCTACTGTAACTACTTGGCCCGCCTGAAGAATGAATTGTGAAGGAAATTTGTATGTTATATCTGACACACTTCCAAGATGTCTTCTTAATACACATCCGTGTAGTGGTTGATCCTGTGGGACAAGAAATTTCTCTCAGCATTAAAGACAAACCACCATATCACACAAATGCAGGGTTCTTTTCAGACTTGGGGTTCTGTTTTAGTCCCATTCCTGTAGTATACAAGAATCTGATCAATTTTGATGATGCCTTCAAGTATATATTAAATCCTCCCAATGATTTTTCCCAGTATTTCCTTAGGATTAATCTTAGTCCCACAAGTTTAGGCACATCCGTTCTTGCCTTCTGTTGAAGGGGGATGATGATGCTCTTTACCAGTAAGACTCCCATAAATGAAGTTGGTCATGCCCACCTACTAACTTGGACCATATATAACACACATAGTGGGCTGTGAAAGCTTAAAGTATCTCAGGCTGAAGTGGCTAAGCTACCAGCCACAAGTTTTGAAGCTCTGAGTATTAATTCCAATAACTCCAGATTTGCAGACTAAAGTAGTCAAAGAATTATTTAATTGGTCAGATAAACCCTCTACATGGATTAGATACTGTCAGCTCTATTCACTTTTAGCTGTTTTAAGCATTTCTAAGTAATAAGAAGATGTCATTATCTAATTTACTAAGCACCTTATTTAGTTTAAGTAGTACTGATAGTGCTAGCCTGAATCTGATGAGAATCAACTGAAGGTGTTAAGATTTCTGCATCATAGAACCCAGTGCACCTCCCCCAAAAAGCACCCCCCAGGAACAAAACACCTGCAGTACAAAAAAAAAGAATGTCTCTAGTCTTCTGTTGATTCTGCAGCCAGGTTAGCTGAGAAGTCCCCAGTTTGTTTGGTTTGGCAGTACCCTCATCATTTGGCAGAACCCTCATCTCTTCATCCTTCCCTATTGTCATCTCTCACAAAGCTACAGGTCATTTCACAAGCAGTCATACTTTGCAATGAAAGCCATGTAGACTTGAATAAAGAGAAGTACCTCATCAGAGTTGTTTTTAAGCCTGACAAATTTCCCATCTGTATCAATTTCTTCAATAGATACACTTCCAGAAGATGAGGCATGCTGAACAGTCTTAAAGCCAGCACTACGCCCTCTCCTTTTGGCTTCTTTCATTTTCCTTTTCTTCCCATGCAGGAAGAGTCTCCCTTGACTTGTTGCTTGAGGTGCAATGCTGTGTGAAGATGGACTGGGTGACAGCTGTAGCCTAGAAGGAGTCAGATAACATTCACTTAAATCTCTGATGCACTTGTTTCTTCTCACTCCTATCCTCCCACTATAGCCAAGCCTAACAGCTTCCTATATCCAAGCTTTCCATGAAGTCTTGAATATAAGATTTTATTTTTACTGGCAAAAGTAGCTAAGTAGCTTGTTAAGTTTGGAAGACAGCCCCAGCCCTAGACTTCAGACCAAGCTTATGTCAATAAGAAAAGATTCCCAATGGCAGTAAGTACTCCTTTAAAGTCTCTACAGACCCAAATCTTTAATGGAAGTAGTTTAAGTTTTTGACCCTTCGTAGCATCTACTGAGGTCATGTTGTTTTCACCAGGCCATGTCTGGATAGGTGGGAGTTGATACAATTTCCCAGTTTCATTCATGAAACTTGATCACTGTCTTTGATACATCCCTAAGATGCAGCACAAATCTTTAAGACAGTTTAATTCTAGGGGGGGATGTCTAATGCACCTTTGAACTTTATCAGTTGGGTTTCTCAAGTTACTTCATCTTACTATACCATCTGGTGGGTGTGAGATATAAGTACCATCTACAGAAGATTATACTTCAAGAACTAAATTGTGGCACTAATCACATACTTAACTTTTATTTCTTGCCTCCTCTACATTGAGGAATATACAATTAACTAGTAGAGATCTTGGATGAACCAAGTCCTCATGTGAGGATCTTGCCATAGCCTACCTCTCTTCCTCTCCTTCCAGCATCTTTCTGTAGGCACTTATTTCCAGATCTAGAGCCAGTTTCACATCTAAGAGGTTCTCATATTCTTCCAGCTGTGCTCGTGCTTGCTCCTGGGCTTGTGCCATTTCTTCCTCTTTTTCAGTCATACGCCTTTGATAGAGATCACGATCATTATCTATTGTCTCCTGTAGCTCCCTTATTCTGTTCTCCAAAGCAACATTCTAAAATTAAGGAGAGGGAAAAATCATAACCAAAGATGAGAGGAGAGGCCAGTATTTTGAATTGGATATCAATTAAAATAATACTAAGGATATGCAGATAAAGATAGTACCTGGCTTTGATATTGATTCAGTTGAGATGTCAGAGTATCAACTCTCATCTTTGTTTCCATGAGCTCCTCCTGAGCAGCTTTGGCAAAGTCACTGTTTCTTGCTGCAGTTAGATGGGCATTCTCCATCTATGGATAAGTCACTGTTAGTAATTAGTTGCTTATGACCATGTCATTAAATAAGGAAGGAAAACCAAGTGATTTCCAGCTGTTACATCTGGAAGTAGTTATGTTTTACTTAAGTGTGCAGACACCAATAAAGTCCAGGTCTGAAAGTTTTTCTTTGCTTTTCAGGGAGGTTTACACAAGTTTGACATTCACATCAGAAAAAGTCAGCAATAATCAGGTAGTGAAAACTGCTAGATTAGGATATTTCAGTTACAGATGCATGAAGTCTTGGTATTAAGTAAACTGATTCTCCAGAAGAACCGTGGAGAACATGTTTAGAAGTTGCTTATCAAAGCATGGGGCTACAGGATATTAGGTGTGCTTATCAAACTATTGCTCTTCCCTACAAGTCCTATTGCCACACAGTCCCTGCATCACTATAGGCAGCACTAAGCTATTTCTAGAGCAATTCAGTCTTGAGACGTTCCAAGAAAGGATAAAGTAGAGCCATACTTATACAAGAGGCACTCACAAAATTTCCAGTGGAAACCTGGAAAGAAGCATCCAAAAGGAATTCACTGAGTTGGCACAGAAGTTGGAACAGTTGGAAAGCCAGAAGAACCAGGAAGAAATGAACACATACTTGAGAGTAGCAGATCAGTAATCCCTTCACTGAGTGTTAAAGAACGCATGAGCTACCAACACCCTGCACTGCAATCAACTAAGAAACCCCTGGAATCTTACCTATCGAGAGTATAAACCTGAAGTACTATTTTTTTCCTGCATAATGCTAGGAAAGAGGTAACAGTAGTTCTGCAAGACAACCTGTCAAGCACTTCCATAGCCACCCTCTCCGCCTCCTCCATACCAGCAACTGGAAAGGGACACGTGCACTCATACATTTGAAAGTGCTCTTGAGCTGTAAGAATACCTTATTTCATGCATTTTATTAACACTATAATCAGTAGACAAAGCTTTATTCAATAATACTGAAGTTACTCAATACACACATAGCACACCTTAGTCCTGAATTTGTCAGGCAAGCTCTCAGATTTGTTAGAATTCTGAATTATGAATTATGATCAACTTTGTTACATCAGCTATTCCTAATTGTTCCTGGAGGGACAGTATTTATGCTTGAAGCAGTTTTGTTTGGGACCAAGTGTTCATAGAAGTTCTACTGTCAAGTTTCACACTGCTTCAGAATTCCATATTATGCCAGGAAGCTCTGCACTGAATGCAAGGGCTCCATCAGACAGATATTTATGCTAGTGACTTTAATCATACCGAGGTGCAGAGAACTTACTCTTGCTTTATTCGCATCTTTACAGACTCACTTTTGCACTGAATGTTCGCTCCAGCTCCTCTTTGTATCCTTGAATTTGTTCTTCATGATGTTTTCTGAGCCCCTGCAGAGCATCTGAGAGCTTACTCTCAAATTCTCTCTGACGGCCAGATTCTATTTCTGCTATCCTGCTCTCATGGACTCTTTTTGTCTCCTTGAGCTCCTAGGCAAAGACAACATTCAAAAAATAAGCAACCCAATACAATTTGATTTGAGACTGGACTTACTGTACCAGCTAACAAGTCATTCAATATCAAAGTGGATTTATCATTGAGTGTACAGTAATTCATCTTTATTCACATCTTAGATATTCATCCATTAGGTCAAGTGCTTCCACCTTGCTAGCTGCACTGGCTTGTTTTGCTTCCTTACTGTCAACATTGCTTAAACTAAAATGCAGCAGCTCACATTTAATTTTAAGACTAATTCTTTGACCAAGATGGACTTCTCTGCTTTTCTTTTAGAGTGCATGCATATACACTTCTGTTCCTTTAAGCACTGTTACTTCACCTATTCTTGTTTTAGTCAAAAAGTAATAGCAGTTGGTTAGAGACATTGTAATTCTCTATCACTTAAACCACATGCTTTGAGATTCCTTCTAGTCAGAAGGAAGTTGGTTTACATTCACAGGTTTTAGTCCTGTGTACTGACTTCTCACATAAAGGTTACCAGACACCTTTGATAAGTGTTAAGGAAGTAGCAAACAGAAGTTGCTTATTAAAGGAGATTTAACTTAGTTTGATTTTAAATGATTCCAGATGTTGCTAGAAAATTAACTGTAATATATGCCCTTTCAGTTACACAAAGTAGTATATTGGGATTATAGTTACCTTCAGAAGTGCAGCCTGAGAAAATTATCTCATATTCCAGATACCTATTGGTACTATGCCAGTTAACATGAGGCTGTGTACTTTCTTGAAGTCTTCCTAGTTAGGTGGATTTTATTGGCTGGTGTCATAGGTTGACTCAGCTAGTTACCTTTTTAAGGATACAGCACATCTTAACATTGCTTTTAAGTGCATCCAGGGATCATGGCCACCCAAAAAAATCCTTGTTAATAAGCTAAAACATACATCTTCATGAAGGCGTTTCTGGAACATCATTTCTTCCTGCAAAGTTTTCACATGATTTTCCAGGTCCACTCTCTTCAACATTTCACTGTGGAGGTGCTTTTTGGTATCTTCCAGTGACAGCTGCAGCTAGAAGAAACATCAATATAATTAAAATTAAGAGGTCTTTTTTCTAAACCAAGACAGTCAGGTTATTACAGGTCATTCCACTTCATTCCCACAGCAATCAAAACACACTGCTTATATGAAATTGGTTACTCTAAGTCCCTGTTTCAGTGGGATCCAGCATATTAGCAACCAAAAGAATCCTATTTAATGATGTAGAACAGATTTCCCACAAGGCAAATATAGAGCAGCCCTTAACCCCACCAGCTAAGTTTGATGCCTCAAACTTCTGATGAATCAATTGTACCATCCATACAAATTACTCTCCTTCACAACACTAAGTTTTCCAAACTTCTCCCTAACTTCCAATATCATTTGTTTGATGCTTAACAAGTGAAATCCTCCAAAAATAGCCTAACTATGTTGGCAAACTATTACACACTTGCAGTGTTGGAGTGTGCTGCTTTAATGATACAAGTTTGGGGTTTTTTTTCTAAAGTTTCTCCTAAAGATTTGAAATCAGTTTATTCAGTGATCACATTAAAGCATGAATATACAAAAGCAATGCTCTTAGAAATACATTGATAATCAGCAACTCAAGCAGAGTTCATTTTAGCAGTACAAGAGCCTACCAAAAGGTAGTTAGAATTTATTTATTCTACCTAGGTTTAAGCATAGTAAAGCAGGGTCCATCAAATACTCCATTTGCTGACACGAGAGAATGCTGCAGGGGCTATAGCAGTACAACATATTCCAACTTACTTTGTCATTACAACAAGCATTACATACCATGGTCACAGAATAGAATTAAAGGTAGCAACAGCATGTGGAAGTTTTAACAGACCCAACTACCAGCAGCACTTGCTTCCAGCAAGACTGCAGAAACCTGTGGCAGTGACAGGTGGACAAAGAAGTCTTTCCCTGCTTTTAAATCTCAATAACTAGTTGGGGAAAACCAAGCAAAGCTTCAGGAACAAAAGCAAAGCTGAAATTCCAGGAACAAGTCTTACAGTGACTAGTTGATCCTTTAATTCATGAAGGTCATTCTCCAAAGCTCGGTTCTCGTTCAGAGCCGTGGCTAGGTCTGCTTCCCGCACATTCAGCTGAGCATCGAGGTCTCTCACACGAGCCTGGGCCAGGTTTAAATCAGCTTCTGTTTTTGCATTCCTACAAGTGAAAGTTTCACAGACATGAGTGGCAGCTGGGGAGGGAGAAGGTTTGTTTTTAACATGTTCACCTTTGCAGGGGCCTGCGGCAGGACTGACAGAGGAGAGGTCAGTTAACACCGGCAGGGAGAGCCCAGGCTGTGAAACAAACCAGGCAGGCCCCTCAGACAACTGTCTTTTGTTTAACCAGAAAGATTTCTGACCCAGTTTCCAGCCTGTTTTGTGTGAATCCTGCACAGAAGCCAGCAATGTTCCACGGCATCGCTGACCGTGGAGGGACGGGCCAGCACAGGCCACCGGCCCCACGGGAGGGACGAGTCACACAAAGCCGAAGTT